ACACACACACACACACACACACACACACACACACACACACACACACACACATACACACATACACACACACACACACATCCATCCCACACTCCGCCCCCGCCCTCCATTCCCTCACAATGTCTTTCATTTTCCCAGTCAAGGAAAACAATTCAATCACAAAGGGAAGTAAGCAAAAATAATGTAGTGAAATGTACATAAACATGAAAAAATGATATCAATAGGCGGATATTAGACCATATCTTTTCATATAAACTTTGAGCTTGTCAAGTACTAACAAATGGCCAAGCATACACGGCCATCAATCGTCAGTTCTAATTGATATCTGGTGATAAGACATGATGAACAGAAAACTATATTACCCATAGCACAGTGGTGATAGCTGTGTACATAAGTAGGAGGTGGTCGGGGGACGGAAGGCGGGGGCCTGTTGTAATAATTCCCTCAATTGGAGGATTCTAAGGTGTGACTGGAGAGAGGGAAAGTGTCTAAAACGGAGAGGGGACTTACCGGCGAACCTGGCACTGTGGGGGATGAGCCGGACCAACAGGGAGCCTCAAGTGGAGGACTGGAAAGTGTGTGAGAGAGGGTGCTCAAGGATAGATAACAAGGCTAAAACAGCACCTGGACATGGATGGCTGGTGTCACTATATATAAATTATTGATGGTCAAGGGTGGATAGAGGGGGACTGTCGTCAGGTAGTCTAGCTGTCCGTCTGTCTGTCTGTCAAATACGCGCCTCCCTCTCTCTGTCTCTCTGACTCTCTCTTTCTCTCTCTCACTCCCTGCCTCTCTGAGAGAAGGGAGAAGACACTCCGATATCTGTCACTCCCCCATCCTGTCGTAGTTCTATATTTTTTTATATAGCAGAGGGTTTTACGGCGCTCGCAACAGCATAAGGTCATATGAGCGCCAAGGGGTGGCTGTCAACAGATAAATTTTTACAAGGAATCAGACTTAGATCGTTTGGCGTGAATATGTCCCCAGCACAGTGAGCTGATCGTAAGCTCTTTGGTTGTTAAATGCCGCC